GAAGACATACACCATGGTTTTAATATACCTCGTTGCTAATAGCTTCACCTTTAAGGAAAACTTCTAGCTCACTGGTCTCCAATTTCAATCCTCAAGGTTTGGCTTTCCTGGAATCCTTTGGTGTGTTTCTGCTTCAACAAACCAGACAAGGACATAAGCTCAGAAACAGAGCTGTGAAGACCAGGACTGAATGCTAGCGAGGGAAATCAGCCATTTGTCGTGTGTGTAGAGCAAGGGGTGGTATCTAAAAGGATCTGAGTGTGAGACCACTGAACTAGGTGAATGGATAAGTTGGTGGTTAGATGGTTATTCCACCCATTTGACTGATGCAGCTAATGTTAGGACACCAGGCGAAAGATTAAAGAGACATCAGACTTTCCCCAAAAATCCCCTTCTGACATGAAACCACAAATTCTTGCCCTAAAAGATATTTTATTCTATCCTAAAACCAAGAAATGAGGAAACACTGGAAAACACGTTGCACCAATGAACATGTTGTTCTCCTTAAATAAACCTAAAAATAGCACTGGTAACTTCTAAAACTGAACAGCGGTTTATCTATAATCTGACAGTGAACTCACCATCTCAGGGATAGAGTCCCAGCTGTAGCTGTAAATCTCTGGAGGGAGGTTGTACACACGGAGGATGTTGTCAGCACTGTTGGTCAGGATGCAGGAACCATCAGGAGCCCTGGGTTCATAGCAGAAGGAGAGCGATGCAAACTCTACTTATTTTATGTGGAATTTGCATCATTTGATATATACCATATTGGCCCGAATATAAGATGAGTTTTTTTTTTATTAACAATGACGATGTTGCATTTGCTACATAAATGCAATAGCAGAGGGCGCCGTTTTTTTTCTTTTTTTTTTTTGGAAAGCCAAATCATCACAACAGAGAACAAGGATGCTACAAATGGAGAATCGCTGCCCAGAACAGAGTGGATAAAATGTCAGACAAGTTTATAGACAATTGAAGCAGAGTTGTGACACAAATTTTAAAATAATGGCGGTCAACGCAGCGGAGGCATCAAACAACTGTTAGGCAGCAAAGAAATACGTGATTACAGAGAGCAATGTCAGAAGAGGGCACTTTCAAAAAGAAAAGCTTATGAAGAAATGGCAGAGCTGCAGGGTGAGAGTAGGAGTGACAGGGAGGCGGAGGACGTCTGTGAGGAAAAGCATCATGCAGGTTTTTGAGACGTTCCATGAGCAAAGTTTAGATTCCATGTTGCAAGATTTCAATTAATCGTGTCATTACTGTCTTTTCCCCCCATTTTTATTGTTTAATTGCACAAATATTTCAATGCAATATTGTTTAAATAACATTTATAGCACTTGAATATAAAATTGTTTATTAAAAAAGTCTATTTTTTTCTTTTTGGTCTTTTTGTTTTATTCCTAAAAACTGGTCCTAGAAAGACGGGGTTGTCTTGTAATCAGGGTCGTCTTTTATTCGGGTCAGTACGGTAACTTGTGTAAAAACCTATATAAATATTTGTGGAGGTTTTTCTTTAAATAGATATTTGTACGTTTTTACTGAGAAGTATCTTTAAAATAGCTTTTTTTTATTTGACTAGTTATGAATAAAATCAGTCTGGCACCTCAGTGGATCAGCTCATTCATGTTAAATACACCCGAACTAGCATGCAACCCAAACGTTATATTCAAGATGGGTTTTGTGGAAACACAGAAGCGACGGCTTCCAGCTTAACTCAGACAGAAAAGGCAACTCCATGTAAGGGGAAAAAGGTAAAACATCTAAAAACTTGTCAAATACTAGAGCTATAAGAACCAGCAGAACAGAGCTGTAGTTCTGTGTTTTGGCCACAGGTGGCAGTATCATTAGACAATTCAATAAGGCCTCTTTAACCTTGATAGAATGAAAGGAAGATATTGGATAAATTGAAACTGATTTATGAATGATTAAGCCAAAAAATATATATAACATGATTATAAAATGATTATAAAATTAATTATAAAAAAAACCTGTTATGGAGAAATTTGGTAGATTTTAATCTCAATCAGGATTACCATTTGCAACCTTTGAGGTAATTCTCAGGAAAGCTGGAGTACTCGGTCCAGGAACCAGTCAGCATTGATGGATTCTGGGTGAAATCCAAGTCGAGGCTAAAGAGAACAAATAAGAAGCACATGTTCAACTAAACACCACTGAAGCTTAAACACAAACAACACACCATGATTTTAATCTGAAAATAGAGACAAGGTGGAAGAAGAACATTTTGGACTAAAACCTTTCAAATTAGAAGATTTTCAAATATATCACTGAATAATCTATACTGATATGTTTCTTTGTTTCTTGCTAATCTCACAATAGAGTCCCCAAGTTTTAGATTTAGCAATAGTGGTTTCTAACTAATCTGATTAAGGCTTCACTACATCCAACGCATAATTGCCCTTTGTGCAATGTCAATACTGCAAAGCACCGTTCAGAATAAGTTATTAATGGTGAATATGCCAGTCAAGTGTTCACAATCTAAAAGATATTCTGACATTTACATGGAGGCTTTCTTAACATTTTAATGAAACTAGATCACAAAATACAGATTTATCAAAAGTTATTTTGTCTATCATGTATCAAGAGAATCTTTCCATGACATGAAGGGCTAAATATGTTTATATATGTTCGAGATCGGCCAGTTTTCAGAGTAGTGTTGTCAATGAGTCAATGCAATCAACTGCTTTTCCTTAGATAGAAAACTTGTTAGATAGAAAAATTGTTGCTATATAAATAAACTGAATTTAATTAAATAATAAAATACAACGCATATTTTAACACCTTATTGTGTCAGCTGTATTAAATACTGACTAAATAAACCAAAAAAATGTTTGCTTGTACATTATCAAAATAGACATATTTATAAGATAAAAAAAATCAGAAAACCATTAACAACGGATAATAAAAACAACAGAACAGAAATGTCAAACTATCATTTAAAGAGAGGGTATGTTGCTCTGATTTGAGACTATTTAAGTGATTACTTTATCAAGTGTTTATAGTCAAAAACAGAACCTTATAAAGTTCCTTCAGCATCCTTATCAACATTAAACAGTAAATCATCCAGAACCAGACTAGATCAATCCATGGCCCAATACTAAACCAGTCAAGCGCCAATATTCCGCTTGTGTGTTCCCACTGAGGGACCGCCACATTAAGGGCCGTCCTAAACCATCTAGTAAGTGAGCCGAATGGACCGTTCAGCCCTTAGTTAGCGAGTCTTCATCAGCGCAGGCTCGCTGGAATTTTGCAGTGGGTGTAACAGCTACTAATGGTGGAGGAAACACTGTCAACCAAATGTAAGTTCAGCTGGTTTGGTTCGTGAGAGGGAAGCGGCCATCCCTTTCTTAAGGCGCCCTCCACACTTCTGAGTGTGGCTTCATAGGGAGTGACAGACGACAGTTAAGTGGTAGTGCTTAGGGGCCGGTTTGGGATGGGACCTAGTTTCTGCTCTGGCATTAGCTCTCTTGCAAATACCAATGAGGCTCTACTTAAGTATTAACAGCGATGCTATCTAGTGGATGATGGTAACATTACAACACAACAAAATGTCTTGCACAAGCAGAACTATTTAAACTTCCACCCTTCTCTAAATAATATTAATAATAATTTAACTTTATTGATCTGACATTAGAGAATTTTACCTCATCCATTCCTTGTGGAGCAGTGGGCAGCCACCGTGGGGCGCCCGGGGAGCAGTGTGGGGTTAAGAGTCTTGCTCAGATACCAAGAGTGGCAGTCTGTGACAGTGGGGCTCCAACTCAGACCCTCAGGATTCTAACCTCTATGCCCTAACCACCAGGCTGCCACTCACATAACCTCTCACTGTCTTTTTCTGTCTGCTGTTTCCTCTATGAGACATTTTAAGTGGAGTTTTAATGTACCAAAAATTAGAACAAAACATCTTCGTCCTACTGTTGTCCTGCTGCGGGGCTCTCTGCAGCTCCATCATCATCCTGATCCACCTCTTGCTTCGTCTCTTCTCCCTCAGCAGGATCAGGTCCTCCACCTCCATTCTGATGACATTGTGCTACATCTTCACTGACCGTTAACTCTTCCTCTGTCTGATCTCCGCTCTCAGGCTGTTGTTGCTCATTAGGTCCTACAAATAAAAACATAAACATAGGTGTTTAAGTACAATAACTCTTCCACACTATAAACCTTTATCAGATTTTATTTTTAACACAAGCGATTGTTGAACGAGGTGTTTTACTTTGTGCAGATGGGGTGGAGCTCATTTGTACGCAGGTAGACTCTGTTGTGCCATCATGGACTTCATGAAGTTCTTCCTCCTCCTCACTGATTCTGGATCGTTTAGCCGACGGTGGAAGCCCGTCCTCTGAGGTCTTCTGTTCTTGCTGCTCAGATTGACAAAGAGGAGGAAGGGCCTGTTGAGGAGGCTCCCCATCTGCTTCAGCTGTCACACCTTCACTCTCTCCACCTCCAGCTGAATCAGACATGGCTTTATCAGTCCTTCTCCCAGTGTTTTATGGCCCAGAGTCCAGCAGGTGGCTGTCAGACGTGAGTGAGGTAAGTGCTACTGGGATAGTGCTTCCTCCTGTGTGGACGGCTGAGTCTCTCGGGGTTTGAGGACATCACCCACCTGGAGGAAACATTCAGATTATACTCTGATCAAAAACGTATTATTAATACAATCTAAGGACGGTCGGTGCTCTAATTATAGGATCTGTTATTTCCTGGTTCACTCTTTCAAGTGTGAAAATAAAAACTACTGAGATAAATTCATGCTCAGTGATTTCAGCATTGCTATGAATCAGATATCTGCATCCTCACTGCATCAGACCTTGCAGTAGAACTGCTTGAGGGACTGAAAATCTATATGTGAAAAAAAATCTATAATTCACATCAATTTGCTAATAAAATGAAGATCAAGTCTAAATTGAGCACATTCAATAAAAGGTTGGTTGATAAGCAGCAATTACTTTAAAAAGTTTTCTTGTGTATCAAGAGAATCTTTCAATAACATGAAGGGCTACATATGTTGATGTATGTTCGAGATCAGCCTGTTTTTCGGTGTAGTCCTGTTTCTCTGCCTGTGACTGGCTGGATGTGTGTTTCCTGGACGGGGCCGCCTTTTACAGCTGCTTTTTGTATCTCTGCTTCTGTCTCTTTGAACCCCAGTCGGCCTCGGCGGATGGCCGCTCACACTGAGCCTGGTTCTGCTGGAGGTTTCTTCCTGTTAAAAGGGAGTTTTTCCTCTCCACTGTCGCTACAAGCATGCTTAGTGTGAGGGATTGCATTCAAATCAATGAGTCAATGCAATCAACTGGTTTTCCTTAGATAGAAAACTTTTAAACAATTTGACTGTATGATCTGGTTGAACTATAAAGTGCCTTGAGATGACGTGTGATGTGAATTGGTGCTATATAAATAAACTGAATTGAATTAAATAAATAAAAGAATACAGGGCATATTTTAACACCTTATTGTGTCAGCTGTATTAAATACTGACTAAATAATAATTCACACATCAATTTGATAATAAATTGAAGATCAAGTCTAAATTGAGCACAAATCATAATGGCCGAAATGCAAAAACATTTCTGCATTTATTATTCTGCAGAAATATTGTTCTGCAGGTTGGACTACATATTACAAAGGTACTGTTTTCAAATTGTTTCCCTTTTCTCACTAAATGTGGCAAAACAATGAAAGCCTCCTTTGACAATTGCAAACAGTAATAAACCAAATTGTTTAATATACATAAACCGTTCGTTTCTTTAAAAAACTATCCTTTTCCTGCATGTTAAACTGCTGTTGATAAACTGCATAAAAGCTGCTTTTTTAAACACCTGTAGCTAATCGTGACATGTTAGATACTTCAAACAGCCTGTCGTGCTTCTGGGGGTTAAAAATGCAAATCCCCATTTGCGTTTCCGTCCGTTCCCTGTTGAATTTACACATTAAAAATAACCGAGGAGGCTAATGAATTCCAATTTTATTCACTATTATCAAGGAATACCGCCACCAAGCTCTGTTTAGCCTTAGTTAGCATTAGCTTGTGCTAACAGTTCGGAGCTACATACCTGCTGTAGCTCTGCTGCCTGTTTACGCTGAGCTTCGTGTCTTTTTTCCCTCTCTGCGGCTTCAAATGTTTACCCAAGCACGAAGAAAATAACCCCAAAAAATCAGCGGGTGTCTTCTTTACAGGGAAGTTCTGTGCTTTTCATTGTAGCTCCTGGAGAAGTTGTAAACACACCAGTCAGCAGCCATGTGTTTGGAACTATCGCGAGAACTCTGATCAACAGCTTGGGAATCTGTTAACCCCCCTCCCTCTGGTTCAGCAGGTTTCCATAAAACTGCAGATTTGAACATTTTTACAGGCAAATCTAGGAAAACTGTCGTTAAGTTATTCAATACTTATAAATTACAACTATTTATCCCCTTTTAATAACTGAACACTATCATTTACTCCTGAGATGTCTCTATAGTTATGCTGCTATAGGCTTAGACTTCTGGAGGACATAGAGACCCCTATTTCATCATTTTACCTCATTCTATCTCGATACTCCCATTCTGCAGAATCTGTTAGTTCAATCTCTAACGTTATGCTCTCTGCTTTTTTTCATAGTAGCT